GTGAATCATCTCACCACACTTCAACTTCCAGGCAATTTCCGTATAGAAACAAGTTTTTTAGTTTAATTGTTTTAAATATTTAAAATTTTTAATTTATTGAATATTATTCTATCACACTCTTCACTCGCTCCAGGGTTGCCAAGAGAAAAATTGCAGAAAATAGCTACAGATTTCTTCCATCCCTATAGTCTTTTTGTTATGAGGATTTTTGTTAAAACAAAAAGCGATAGATATATTATTGTTATATTATTTTATTAACCAAAGAGTACGTTAAAATGGTATTGTTGACGTTTTTCGGCGATATTTTGCACAGTATATACAGTAGATAACCTTTTCGTGGTAGCTGTCTGAGGGGTGAATAGCGGCCATCTTGGATTTTCAGAGGTAGCAACGCAGTGCTGTATATATTGAGGTAGTAAATACTTAGCAAATATATTCTATAAAATAACAAAAACTATAAATATTGTTGCTTAATATAAAACGAAATTATTTATTAATGACATATATTTACTTATATTTGATTTAAACGCCATAGTGTGTCATGTTTCGCCCATAAAAATAATTTTAACTGATAGTCAGATATTCTTTATGTAGTGAGTTCTTATTAATAAAATGCAGCCCTGTTTTTATATTTCTCGGTGGTGAGTTTTCTTCTGAATGTATTAGTTTACATTTGACCAACAGATAATAAAGTGCAGATTTCCATATTCGAACATTCAAATTAAATAAAAACAAAGTTTACTWTGTATAAAGTTACTAAATATTTTAGTTAAAGTCTAATAATTGTAGTGAACATAGGTTTTATACAATAGAAAATGTCCGTTGAACCAGATATCGCCAAAGAAGCGGAAATACAATCATCGTGCGGGGCTATGATTGGAATCAAGGAATTGATTACTCAAAATTATTTGAGTCGTATGTTGATATGGGGTTTCAAACTACTAATCTAGGGTTGGCAATAAGAGAAATCAATCTAATGGTAAGTAACCAAATTTTTATGGAAAGGTTTATGTATTTTAAAATATTCTTAGCTTTATTGTGGGTTGAAGAAGACTATTAAATGCCCACCCACGTACATGGGATCATTCGAATTATCTGGCCGAGATTTACGGGATCGTGGTATAAATCGTATAGGTAATTTGCTTGTACCGAACGATGACTATTGCCAGTTCGAGGATTGGCTCATGCAGCTACTTATTGAAATCGTTGAAGWGCAAAAAACGAAAGGCATGATTTGGTCTCCTTCTCATATTATACAACTACTTGGGGAAAAGATAAACGACACCAGCTCAATATACTACATAAAATACCTGTGTTTTGCCCTGCCCTAACAGGTGGTAGCCTAGGTGGCTAGGTTTCCGTCACCCCGGATTAGTGGTAGATATTTTGTCCGATTTCCGATGTCTAAACAATATGGCTGTGAAAGCCACCAAATCGAGAATTATGATAATTGGTGGTGGTGGTATAAATCGGTGGTTATATCACGTATGCAATGCGAATTTGATGAGCAATGGAGCCGATTATTCCGTTTTTATTAGCACAGCTTCGGAATTCGATGGCAGTGACAGTGGTGCTCGACCAGATGAGGCTATTTCTTAGGGTAAAATAAAGAAAGAAGCTTCACCATTTAAGGTATGGGTATGGTTTATGGTATATACGTATGCAGAAGCTAGTTTAGTAGTGCCGTTGATTGCTAATGAGACATTTGTTAAAAAACATTTAAATACAAAAAAAAAAAACGAACCATGATAATAAATAATTGTAAAAAATGCAAATTTGTGGACTTTAATTTGTAATAGTAAACGAACTTTTTAATAAAGCTTAGTCAATAACAACTTACGATCTTCATATTTATATTCGATCAAGGACTGTTAACTCGTTTCAGCTTATTTAATTTATTGGTATATGTATTTCTCATATACTCTTTATTTCAAAGAAATTAAACAAATTTTATCAACATTATTTTTAATAATTTATTTTTGAATCTTTAAGTTTTGCATTTTCCACACCACCCCTGAAGTTTGCAATAAGGCGCGTTACCGACTTTTTTTAGGTGTTCGGTTCCCCGGTAGGCCTATTTTCACCTTTACACCTTAAAATAAACATAATTAATAATTTGCATAATAATTTAAATAAAAATATTGCACAAAATAATTTAATACGATTTTTAAGCTCCCACAATAGATGCATCCAAATTCCCATAACTCTATTAAATATATTAAAATACAGAAAATAACTTTTAGAAGGTGGAGGTAGTTACCTATGTGAAATACACAAAAATTTTATGTGCCGAAAGTGAGGGTTATCTACCTGTCTATTAAAAATTCTTAAAGAAAAATAGGTTCTAATTCTTATAAAAGGGTATTTTAAAACGTCGGGTTGTGAATTTTCGCAGCAATAAAAAGGCTCTACATCTCCCAACATACTATGTAATTTTTTTGAAAATCCTACAAGATGACAACAAGAATCAAAATTGTCATTCAATATTGCATCAAGTTTTTTCACAAAATCTATGAAAGGTTCAGGAGCTTTTACCAGATTTGACGAATCGTACACTTTTTCTTTTGTAAAAGTGAATGCGTCTTCAGGGATCTGATCTTTTTCAAAAAAAAATATGCAAATGAATTTCGCTGTAAGAAATCGCTTTCAATTACATCGATTTCGATACAATTCCTAAAATTATACGGGCTATCTAAGAACGGTCTTGGCAAACCTTGAAATGTTAAAGAGTAACCTTGAAATGTTTGCCAAGAACTATCCTGAATCAAAGGGTCATTACATACCCTTTCAAGAGGTATTGAAAATAGCTCAACATCTCTACCCTGCAGAGATTCACAATTGCCACATCTCGACCAAACATATCACAAACAGTGATAGAGTTAAGTGCTTCTTCGGCTTCTACTAAAAAATTCATTTGATCTGAGCTGACCGAAAAGGGTTCACCATATATTTTTAATGCTCCGAGGCATTTACTATTAAAAATATTGAAGAGTTGGTCGAAGAACAATACAAACTCCACGGTATTTAAAAAGGTTTGGGACTGAGATGTATTTAAGTGACCCGTTGTATACATGGCTAACATTGCGCTAGCAACTGTATTGCTAAAGACTTGGGCAGCTAAACGTACATTCATTTTTTGAAAAGTAGTGGGCTTTGAATGTGCGGAGGTGTTCATGGAAATGAACTATATTTTTCCAATCTACAGAACGCCCACGAAATTGTGTATGGTTTTTGAAGTTTTCAATACAATTTCTCGTACTCTTTAACAGGTGAGGAGAATCATAAAAGAATACGGTTTCTTCACCATTAACTTCAAAATAGGGCCTATCATCTGTAATCCCCACTACTTTAGCAAAATTAACAAAATTGGATCCTTGATCACAGACTAATTGACATGTATGAAGACCTTTTCCCTGGAGTTTCTCAATCACTTCAAAAACATACTTCTGAACCACATCCCCTTTACAAGAATTATGGACGAAAAAATATGCAACTGGTTGAAACCACGAGTTGCCTCCAATGCCTTTAGCCATTACTGTGAAAACACTGTTGGCTATCCTGGACATGCGATTTTCATCCCCATAGTCCTCCAATCCTACTATAAAATCCCTATACCTATCATATTTCAAATGAGTTTTCAATGACATTTCATCACAACACAATGCAATGTATTTCTCCTCATTACTAAAGAATCGACTACGCAACTCCAGGTACTTAATGCTGCAAAATGAGCATCCAGGATTTCTTGGCCAACCTTTTATAAATTTTGAAAGAGTTGTTATAGAAGGCCAATGAAAAAGGGGTCGCAAATATCTATAGGCCAAAGGAGATGTGAATTTTACTCCAAGGGTTATAGTCTTCATATCTTTACTATATCTGCGACCTGAAGGGCTGCGAGAAATATTTTGTACACTATTTCTGACACATATTGCGAGATGTGGTGGTAATTTACCACAAATCTCATCAATTTGGGGATGAGTATGGTTTTGATTAATTAAATAATCTCTTTGGGCTTTTAGCTCTAATATCTCCTACTCTTTTTCCTTAATTGATTTCATTAATAATGAAATTTGATTCACCGCATTGTCAAGTTGTTCTTGGCAATTTTGATGACTGAAGGATCCATCGCAGAAATATGATTCGGTTTGGGTCCCTGACATCCAACCCCAAAAGGAATCACTTCTGCCCTAGCTTTTTCTGTTTCCCTAAAATAATCAAAACCCTCCCCCTGAGCAGCAAATCCTCAGGCCCTAATCGAATTACCTCGCCATTTGCGTCCGTCTGTTCAACTAAGCTACCTATTCCAAACAATAATTATTTTTTGGAATTACATCCACTGTGGGTGCGTACGAATTACTATCGGGGACTGCCCCTTTACTTAACCTTAATTTGTTCCTCACCCGGAACAAGAAATGGCGCTGGCAGGCGAATAGCTCCTTTTTTGGGGTGTCTGTTACCCCCAAAAGTTCCATCCATTTTCCTCGCCTACGAAAATTTTCATAAATTTAACGAAAAAATATGCAAGCAAAATGGTTAGTATAAAACAAACAAATCTTGGTTGGTTTTTTTTTAAATAAAAATTAAAATGGTGCAAAAAAAAAATTAAAACGCATGAAAAGCATTAAATGAATGCATGAAGTGAACCAACCTTTACAGGCATCATTTAAACCGCCGCTGAAAATTTTAATAAACTATTTATAAGCTTATTTTAATACAAAAAAACTTATGTTTTAAAAATTATCATATTATATATGACTCATACTCATACTCATACTCAGACTGATATTATATATGACTAATTTTTAAGGTTTAACAAAATGAACTACCTTAAGTAATTAATACTATTTATGGTACTGATAATTTAAAAGTAACACGTAGCCATATTTTGTATAACTACGCTCCCATAAGTTAATATAATATTTACTTAATGAATTATATTTGTAAT